CCATCCTGGAGGGACTTGGGGCCACCTCACAGGCTGGGCAGGGAGACACATTCAAACACAAGAGGCTAGTGCAGTTTGATCAGTGCCATCCATTCGTGCTTTTTGAACTTGTGTGTCATTTAGTTAAGCTTACTGAGTATTTGCTATGTGCAAGGCACTGGGCATGGGGTGTGTGTGGTTAGGATGGAAAGAACATCAAAAGAAGCCTCTAACCCTACCTGTGTGTGTGTGGAGGGGGTAGGGTGGGAGGCTTCCCAGGCAAGGTATAGTTAAACCAATCTAAGAGATAGCAAAGTTGGTCAAGAGTTGCCCTATTAGAATGACAGAACCAAAAGGATGGACCAACAGGTTCTCCTTCATCCAGCCCAAGACTATGTCCCAAATGGCCTCCCAATCCATGCATTTCTCTCCACACCCACTGCTATCACCCTCGCTGGTCTCTCTGCCTCTGATCTCGCCTTCCTTCCTATTAGTCTCCACACAGAAGTCTCCTAAATAGTTACCCACTGCTCCCTGCTTACAGCTCTTTGATGGCTTCCCATCACTCTCAGGATAAAAGCCAAACTCTTTCAGAGGCCCAAGGGGACCTCTTTGCAGGTCCAGCCACTCTCCCCCTAGATTCACTATGCTCCAGCCACACTGGCCTCCTTCTGCCTTTGGAATGTATCACAAGTACTGTCTCCTTGGGGCATTTACTCTTGACACTCAGACTCCCTAGAATGTCCTTTGTCTCCTTGTGACTACTGAACTCTTAGTCATTCCACAAAACTTCTCTCAAGTGTCCACAACCCTTCCCTGACTGCACAGGCCACTCAGTCGAGTTGATCACTTCCTTCTGTGTGTTTCTCTAGTTTCCTGATAACATCGATCTAGCATAGTGGCCACCAACCTTTCTTGTTCTAGATGGTGAGCTCTGAGAGGGCAGAGCCCAGTTTGAGTCATCACTGGGGCATGGAGACCAGCACAGGGCGTCAGAGGGGATTTGCAGAAGAAGACTGAGGGGTGATTGAGATTCTGGAAGCTGTCCTCATCCTTCTCTTCCTGGGCTTTATCAGGTAGGGAGGAGGTGACCCTGTGTCTGCATGAATATGTGGGGGGGGTAAAGATGGGGGAATTGTATATAAAGTCATTTCAGTTCATCTCTGTCTCTTGCCAACAAGCGTTTTTCTGCTTCCAGTCTGGTGGCCAGCATCTAACACCTTCCTGCCCCTCCTCCCCCATTGGGCTTCTGGTGGCTGTGGATGTATTTGGCTTGGCATCCTAGCTCCTAAACAGAGTTACTATATGACCTAGGGTGTGTCACATCCCCTCTCTGGGCCCCCTTCCCCTTCAAGAGCCCCTAGCTTAAAGAGATAGAATATAAAGGACACAGTGATGGATTTGATGCAGGGATGAGAAAGAGGGTGGCCCTTCCCTCCCAAGGCCACCACTGGGAATGGGCAAGTTCTCTCCAAAGCCCTAAGTCTGGGTGGGCCAGCTAGAAAGCACAAGCAAGAGTGGTGTCCAAAGCAACCAATGGCCAGTCATTGGG